GTAAAATCGATAGGAATAAGCAATTTTTTTCCAGTTTTCGCGAAAATATGCGTTTTTGTTGTGGTTTATTTTAAATATAGAACATTTTCAAAGCATTCTGACATATTTTTATAAAAAAAAATATTAAAATACAATTTTTACACGCTTTTTATGAAAAACTGTCAATTTATGGAGCACCACAAAATTATTCGTACACTTAGGTTTTCTTGTTTTATATTCCAAATATATCAAATGTTTGTGCAGAATCGATCTCGAACGTACACTTTCGAGATAACGGCACTCTCGAATGATGACATTTGCACTGTGCATGCACATTTTGACGTTTCTAATTAGAAACAACATCACAATGGCGCGGCGTGGTAAAGAAGTTGATATTTCGGTTAGAAATTTGATAATTAAATTAAAAAATGAGGGCAAATCGGTTCGAAACATCGGAAACACAGTTGGAGTACCACATACCACATAATTACGAAGCAAAATACGTATGGAACCGTCAAAAATTTGCACGACCGAGGCCGCAAAAAAATTTTGTCAGCGCAAAATAAGCGATTTATTGAACGAAAAATCAAAGAAAATCCCAAGCTGAGTGTTCCAAAATTGACAGAAGAGGTGTCAAACGTGATTAAAAGACCATTGTCAGCGGAAACAGTCCGGCGAGCATTAAAATCGGAAGGGTACAACGGCCGAGAAGCCAGGAAGAAACCATTCATATCAAAGGTCAACCAAAAGAAGCGCGTGAAAAAGATCACTTAAATATGCCAAAAACTTTCTGGAATGACGTTATTTTTGGTGATGAAAGTAAGTTCAACCTTTTTGGATCAGACGGCCGTCAGATTGTTTGGCGAAAAAAAAATACAGAGATCCAGCCAAAAAATACAAAATCAACTGTCAAACACGGCGGCGGATCCGTCATGGTTTGGGGCTGTTTCTCGGCGAATGGTATTGGTAATTTGGTTTTCATAGACGGTATAATGGATCGATTCGTATACCTGGGCATTCTGAAGAAAAACTTGAAGGTTTCGGCCAGAAAAATGGGGATTGAGACAAGTTATCCTTTCCAACAAGACAACGACCCAAAGCATACGGCGGGCATTGCTAGAGATTGGTTGGATGAAAATGTGCCAAATGAATTGAATACACCACCACAGTCTCCAGATCTCAATCCAATTGAGAATTTATGGGATAATTTGGATCGACGCATCAGGACACACAAAATATCCAACAAGAATGACCTGAAGAATGCACTCGAAGAAGAATGGTCAAAGATCGACACCGAAACCACACAAAAACTAGTAGACTCGATGCAGAGTCGCTTGACTGATGTTATTCGAGCTAATGGAGGACCATCAAAATACTATTTTTGCAAAAAATCCAATCAACATCTATTTTTAAGTTACTTACACATGGTGTACGAATAATTTTGTGGTGCTCAATAAAATGACTGTTTTTCGAAATAAGCATGAAAAATATTGTGTTTTATTAAAAATTATTATAAAAATAGGTCAGAATGCTCTGAAAATGTTCAATATTTTAAATAAACCACAACAACAACGCAGATTTTTGCGAAAACTGGAAAAAATTGCTTATTCCTATCGATTTTGCTGAAAAATATCACTGTACGAATATTTTTATGAGCCACTGTAAATGGTATCTCTCTAGTGAAATGAAACAGTGTCTCGTTTTTTCAATTTGTTTTTTCTCTGTGGGTACGTTGAATCTTGGGAAAATAATAAAATTTGAAAAGTTGAAATTTTGTTTTCTTCAGTGTCGATTTTTAGCCATGATGTTGATCAAAGAACTGCAAATTTTCGAATAAAAAGGAAACCAAAGGAATATCATCTCTATACATCCAGAGTAGAAATATGTGAACAAAGTGTATGATCGGAATTTTATTGGTGTTAATTTTCATATTTTAGGTCAATTGGACAGAAGCGGTGAAGCAATGTGAATCAAAAGGAATGGAACTGGTGAGCATTTTATCGAAAAAGGAAAATGATAATTTAATCGGATCGATAAAGGAAGCCGGTGAGACAATTTATATTACTTCATTGTTACAATTGCTTTGACATTGAATTTTGAAATAACAGCTTCGTCATTACAAAAAAAGAATAATAGTGTTTTATGAACATTTTGTTTATTTGGAGAATTTTTGAAACATCACACTAAAAATCAATTTCTCTTTAACCAGGCCAGGGTAAAATCGGTTTTTGGACTTCAGGGAATCGATTGGAAACAAATGGCACATATTATAGGTTTAATCGAAGTCAAGTAACGTTTACCGATTGGGAAAATGGCAAACCTGACAACCGAATCATTGATGGCGAGGAGGAAAAATGTGTTGAGGTAAAAGGATTTGGAATTTTAAAATGGAACGACAATTTTTGCAGCCACGGTTTATATTATATTTGTGAAATGAATTAATCAACATATCTATATATCTTACGTTTACTGTTTACTTATTTTAACTTGTCTGTTTTTTAAAAGATTGCCATCAGAATAGTGATTTTGTGCAATATATAAAATCTTTAAAGAATATATATATCAGATGAAAAACCTCTAGACGAGGTTAAAATGGAGTGACGCTC